TGATTAAAAAAATTAAAACATGTAATGTAATTGACCAAGCAAATTATTTTGTAGCAATAAATATCCATTCACTTTTCTGCTTCTTCAGAAAGAGGTATTGATTGCCAACATATGGCTATAACGAGCACTTAATACAGCAACATGGGTCTCAGCTGTTTTGTGGCAGAAAAAAAACCCGAAACCAACAACCACCAAACATTTCTTTGACATAGAATACAGTACAGTACTTTATAGCAAAGTTCAAAGGACAATAGGATTAGCATAATGTTTATTATCTCAGAGGAAAAAAAAAATAAATCACATCTACCATTCCTCTGCATCACACATTATTCAGAGGACATTTCAAGTGATTTTCCATAACTTATGATTGGCAGCTTACCCGAAGACTGCCTTCAGATATATTTATGCATGAGATGCACCAAAAATTATTCTTTTTGAGTAGGAAATGCAAACCTGACCAACATCAAGCTTTAAAAATAAAAAACTCAGACATATTCAAACTAATAACAAGAATAAAAGAAAAATTGCAAATGCAAACTTACCATGATGTATCTGTAAGTGGACATGGACCTCTTAGATTTTTCTTCTGGAAGATGTTTGCCTGCTCACAAGTAAGGCAAGAAAATCCAGCCTGCACCTAGAAGTAAAAGATTCCACCTGTAAAATTAGTTTTCCTTTAGTTAAGATAAAAAGTTTTATCATACTTATACTCAAGTTTAGTCACAGATGAACTAAAAAACGGCTCAGCACAGAACTCAGCTGTCACATCTATGCATAAAACACATCAGGTGTTGGTTTGATGTGAAACCTCGTTAGGAATCACATAACTGCAGTGAACATCCACAGAATAAGTGTCAGCAAAAAGCTTTGTCAAAAACATTCTGCAAGCCAATACTCCAAGTCAATCAGAATAAGGCTAAACACTGTAGTCTCCAAATACTTAGGTAGAGCTAATTAAAACAGAACAACAGAACAGATTCAAGTATTAATCTTATACCTCCTTATTTGTGAACTCTTGTTTTCAGCTGCTCTATTAGCTCTGTAGCTTAACTCTGGAGCTAACTGAAACTAAACAAACGTCAGTTACTATCATCTTACTAATCTACTCTTACAATGAGTGACAGGCTGAGTTATGTAAAGTAGCTGATGCCTAGCTTATCACCTTGTATTTGTCACTGCATTCGTTACAAAAAAAAAAAAAAAAATCAGAAAAAAAGCAGAAAGGATTTGATTAACCTGGGGCACAAAAGAAAACCCATAAACATCAGAGCACTGAAGAAGTCTGTTGGCCACTTTCAGAATGAAGTCCAAATAAATAAATGAAGCCAAGGTACAACCTCTGCCCATGAGAGGGAAAAGATGACAACAGATTTTATGACTGTTTTTCTTTTCTCCTTCCCCATGACAACCTCATTCCTAGAGTCCTAGGTGCAAGTTATCTCCTGCATCACTTCCAGGCATTATACCGACAGTTTCACACTAAACAAATCACTCTAGTTAAGGAAGTATAATCTAATTTCTGAATAGCAAAATGCCATCTTCTATTACACACTTTCCTGCAGCCACTCCTTCATTAGAACATTTAAGTATATGCTTAACGACATTAGTGCTTAATGATGTTAGAGTCACAATCCCACTGTTTTTTTTGTTGTTGTTGTTTACTTGTTTTTTTGTTGGGCTTTTTTTTTTTTTTCAGTTCTCTACCACAAAGAATATACTCAAGTGTTCTGATAAGCTGTGGCCTACCTCCCTAAGGTCCTTAGCACTCCCTTCCCTGCTGTCACAGATGAGATTGCAGCTGTCAGTACTGATGTTCAGTTGCCTATTTTTGGCAGCAGAGATTTCTCAGTTGTAAAGCCTTTGGCCAAATGACCATCAAAATTGGAACGGCTAGATTTACTGTTCTTGTAGGCAATCAGAAACTCTGCAAAACATGGTGTGGGTGGGTGTGATCATGTTTGTTTAATGGATCTATTGCCTGCTTCAGGCCAGATGTGCCATTGCAAGTAACAGTGTATTTTGCCTTTCCATAGCATATAAAAATATTGCCTTTTCTTGGGCCAAGCCTAAAAGGAACTTAAGGCAATTAGAAGTTATTTTTTTAAATAGTTCTATTCCAGTAACTATCCAGAACTCTAGATTTTCATCATAATTATAAGAAAATAAGTTTCAGATTTTATATATTCTCATTCCTAATCAAATCAGTTTTTAGCCATGTTTTCTTAAATCGATGCTTTAGCTATTCATTGAATTTTAAAAATTAAAATAAAGTTAACCAATCAAGTTACTGTCAATCAGTCTTCCTGATTATAACACTATTTGCAATGTATTGCAAAGTGGAAATCCATTCCAATCTTGCTGGCCAGCTGGTAGAATGCTAAATATTGTTACTACATCAAGATGAAGCATCAAATTAATCCAAGCAGTTAGACAGCCTCAGCTATTTTTTCTTTATGTGGTAAAAATCAAAAACATTTTAGCAACAAACATGCTAGTTGATATTCAGAAGTTTTGCAAATGACTCTTTACTGGAAAAGATGACTATGTAATTTGAAACAAATTCCTTACTACAATTGTAAGCATAGTATTTTTAAAGAAAACTCCATTTAAAGTGTGTTTATCTGAAGTACTGAGAACACAGTAAAACAACTATGTATCTTTATCTAGAGCACTAGCCAGTCAAGCCTTTGTGCAAACAACTCCACATGTAAATCATGTTACTTGGTATGAAAAAAAAAAAAATCACTGCACAAGAACAGAACTTCTTTATAAACAGCTATGTGCTACTTCAGCTTCTTGCTTTCCTTCTTCACCCCTCTGGTCTTCCCACTTCCTACTGTTCAATTTTTTGTCTTGGGAGGAGTGGAACTGCCTCTGCCGTTAGTTGAGTTTACAATTTGTGCTTAAGGTAGGAGCACGCTTCCCCAGTTGTAGGAAACAATAAGGTAAATAGAGAAGACTAGAGCTAAGGCAGCATGATAATAAAGTCCCAATGAACTCTGATAAACTGAACAGTAGTATCATGTTGTCTTGCATAAACTTCCAAAGCAACTTGGAAAAACACAAAAATACACAGTCCTGCACATTAATTATGATTGTAGGTTAGCATTTGTTAAACACATTGCACAAACTGTCCCTGGTCTTCTAAATCCTAATGGCCTGTATTGTGAGCAGCTGCCTCTGACATGGAAGTACACATTAAGCAGAGGTATGTGATTGAATTCATCTGGAAAAAAGTACACCATTGACATGGATTGACACTTACTGAACATTTATGGACACCAAACACAGTGTGAGCACAGTGGGGTGGTAAGTGGTGCATTTCAGCAGTGGTGATAGCAACAGTGGGCCATGTGCCTTGGTGCAGATTTTTATGAGTGCAGCAAGCAGGCTTTTATTCAGCATGGACAAAATTATACTGCTAATGGTAACGACTACGTTAAGAAACTGTTTCATAGTTGAGAATTTCCTCTATCATAAAGCATTATCTTGCTCTTGCACCTACTGTAGATTTGGTGAAAATGAAAATGTAGCATTACACTTGGATCAATTTATGTGCAACACACGTAGAAGAAATCAATTTTTGTCTTTATTTTTAATTGTTTTTGTTATCAGCTCCTAACATGCTCAGAATTCTACTTTAATTTCATTAAAAATGATTTAATAAATGAACAATACACCATCAAAACTCAGGCGCTGTAGAGACTACTCTCATTTCTAAGGTTACTGTGTCATCTGAAATAGAGATACATCCTTTCTTCTGACCAGCCTTTTGATAACCCAAGAAAGGTATAAGTCACAAGCTGGTAATAAAAAGGAATAACTTACCCTGCTCAGAAGATAAAAACATGCTAGAAAAGTCACAGAAGAATGCAATCTCCAAATAAGAATGATCCCCTCTCAGCTGCCAGCCCTTAAACGATGTTAGGGAGGGGTGAACCCTGGGTGACACCAGTGAATTTCTTGCACCTGTGCTCCCAGGGCCGCCCACACCTCTTCACCAGGTGCTCAATCACTGCTTCAGGCTATGACCTAACAGTTCTCTTATAGCTACAAAAAGTGCATTCTTAACTTCTGTAGTGAAGTGGTAGGGAATCTAATTGTTTACTTTGAAAATGAAAAAAAAAATCTTATAGTTCTATGAGTCTATTCAATATTCCTTTTTGGTATCAAATACAAACACCCTGTTCACAATTTACCTGCTTTAGTTCTGAAAGTTATTCTGCCCAGTGGGCAGAATAAACAGCAGGGCATTTTCTGCTAACTAGGCAGAAGTCTTTTCACCCTGACTTAATGAAACACAGAAAACACCTCTCAGCCATAAGTTGCCAAGGAAGAACTCCTTGCAGTTCTTCAGCTTTGTCTATAGACGGTACATGAAAATGTAAGCTTTTATATGTATTTACATATATAAAGATAGATATATTTAAACTGCTGCTGATAGTTCACAGGCAGGGGTAAATGTATCACTTTGAGTTTCAATTGTTTTTCTAGAGCAAAACCTCAGCTTGGTTGCACAGCAAATCACAAAATTCCCCTATTTCCACCCTCAAATTAGAGTTGATTTTTTTGTACTTACTGATCATGATTTATACTGCTTATCTGATGCAGTCATTTCCTATTTTATGAAAAAAGAACACAAAAGGAAAGACAGTTTCTCTTTTTTACTTCTTCTTCAGCGCAAAGACATCACAGTTGAAAAGTTGTATAATCAATGAATATTAAGATGTTATAATTACAAAATAAACAAGAGATTAGACAAAGCAGATTACGATAACAAAAAGAAAATAGATAGAAAGCTTACCCATATCCTTATGAAAATCCAGCAGAGTAGACCTCCAGAAGAGATCCTTCCATACTGGTAGTCAGTTCTGAAATGGGTCTAGGAGAGGTAGAGCCAGCTCCACCCCTTCCAGCAGCACAGGTGAATTGCCTTCAGCTGTGCTCCCATGGCTGACTCATTGCTCGCCTCAGGTGATCAATCAGAGGTTCAGGCCGTGGTTCAGCAGTTCCCATACAAAAGTAGAATTACATTTCTTCCACTGTCATTTGTTTCTTGTTTATCTTCAAAATTCAAGTGCGTGATATTCTAGTTTGTCAGCTCCAAGAGGCAAGAGGCAATGAGCTGAAGAGGGGAATAAGGTATGTTTCTTAGACTCCTCAGCTTAGCTGGTATACTCACAGGCACAGTCTAGTTGTAATGAGGTTGCATCTTATTACTAATGTAGCTTCTTTTATAACCCCATAAAACATGATAGGTAAATATGTTCTTTTGTAATTAGGGAAGATAATGTTACATCAGAGATGCAGAAAAGTTCTGAATAAATACACTGATCCTCTAGCAAAGATAATAATACTTACACGTTATGTAATTGCATTAAATATCTGTATAATCAAATGCCTGCTTACTCTTTTTAATGTACTCTGCTCTGTAGTGAAATCTTTTGCTTTCAGATGATCTTGTAAAATGAGAAAAGAATTAACACCTTCCATGTGTTTTTACTAAGAGACATACAAGCACATTGACTATTGGAATGCTTATTTTCTGTAAAAGTCCAGGCTTAGTTTTCAGACACCTAGAAGCTTACAAGGATGTAGATCTAGTTTATAATTATATGTCTTATTACTTTAATTTACTTGCTCATTTTTACCCAACAGGACTTTAAAAAATACTTAATTCAGGTGCAGGGAAAAAAAAAAAAAAAAAAAACCAAAAAAAAACCAAAAAAAAACCAAAAAAAACAACACTTATATTTCTGTCTTTCCAGAAGCTAAAAACACGTATTTAATACAATAGCATAGTTCCATAGACAGGGAGCTAAAAAGACCATCTAGCACAATTGCCTAACAACTTCAGGGCTAATAAAAAGATAAAGAATGTTACCCAAATACCTCTTGAACACTGATAGGTATGGGACATCAGCCATCTATCTAGAAAGCTTGTTCCAGTATGACCAATGTGTTACCTAAAGCACATAATGAGCTAATGACTTTTCCAGTATCTTAGGTGCACTCTGCACACTTTTAGCGTAATTAGCACTGAAAAAGATATAATATTAAGAATTATAGGATTGGAGTTGTTAGTTAAATGACTGCCTGCCTATTTAGAACTTTTATTTCTGGCTGATTTGCACTCTGATGCCTTTCAATTTTATGCTTATTTCAGCATGATCTGACTGGGATACAGACTTAGAAACAGTCAGGTAAGCTTTCTACACTAAAGATAAGCATAGGGAAAGTATCCCTCCACCAAATATTGCCTTCAGGCTTTGCTGTTTTATTATGGTGTCAATTCTCAATACATTAACTGGACAAAACTACTTACAATGTTTTCACCTACAGAGCAAATACATCAATAGAGAAAAGAAGCCACATAGAACTGGAAATACAGGAAGAAGCAAGAAGTGCTTGTATTGGAAATGATCCACGTGGACACAGAGTCTAACAATTTCTTTTTACTACCTAATGTGAGGGGGCTACAGTTATTCCCAAATGTCACATGTTCACAGCACCAATTCAATAAAGAAATATTTTCTTTTAGTCACGGTTTTAATTTTTTATCTGGAGAGGGACAATTCTATCTCCCTCATAAGAAACAGAAGTGCTTTAGAAAAACTGAGGCCAGGACTACTAACGCCTCTGTGGATCTTTTTAGCCTTGGGGGGATGTAGGTGGCAAAAAATGGGTTCACTCATTGTTAAAAAACATTTCACTGCTGGCTACAGCCTGAGCAAATTGATGGTGTGGTGTTAACCTGCTTGCCAAAGGGCATGTGTCAAAATCTCTGTGCAGCTGGGTCTAATTGGACAGTCTGATATTGATAGTCAGAGAATTAATGCTGCAGAATGAATTAGCCATGGGGACAGTGCTTCAGATCTACTGTCTCACATTTCCCTGTTTGATGGTGCTGAGCTTCTCCAGCAGAGCAGACTATGGAAGAGGAGTTGGTGTTCTTGTTCCAGTGGAACTCTGGATTGTCAAACCTGCTGGTTTGTTAAAATTGATTTAACTTTTAAAAAATAAGCCTCATATAACTTCTGCAGCAACACATCTTCCTTAAAGAATAAAACCGAATTTCTGTGAAAAAAAATCATGTTTATTAACTGTAATACCATATCCTTCCAAGGTCCACTGGGAAATGAGATATGTGTCTCCTAAGGCTATCCCAGAGAGTAATATTTTAAATGAATAAATCAGACCCATTTGTCTTTGCCAGGATACATCTTTTACATAAATCTCTGTTTGTCCCCATTGACTGTCATGGTGCCCAGCCAGAATTGGTACTTTCATGATATCTGATTTCACCATTGTTGTTGCCATTCAGTGCAGCGCACGTTTCAGTTTTATTCTCTCCAAATACCCTCACTGTTAATCTAAACTCCAATTTGTTTTCCTCAGTTATAGTTTTTCTGACCAGTAGCTCTCCTTCAGATTAGTATTAATATCCAAACTATTAGCTGATGATGCAAAGAATTTTTACTCACTTAAACCGTATCTTTATCCAGGTTACCTCTTCATAAGATAAGAGTAATAATAAAAGCTAGAGCTGCGTGGATGATTTTTTTATGCTTGATGCAGTGGCAATTGGAATGAACAAGGCCATTCTTTAAGGATGAGTAAATCAAGTAATATATTTGCTGAGCAGCACAAATTTTAGTGCTACTCAGCCAGCTGAACACTGCTTGAATGACATTGCAGGCCATACTGCAGGCCATCTGAAATAAATATGGAATGTCAGATTTCTGAGGAAGGAGAGAAGGGACTTCTGGAATAATATTACCAGATAGAAACAGATTAAGGTTTTTATCTTTGAGTTTCACAACTTTTGGACATCACGGGTCAGTTTGCTTATGCTACATTTTCTCCATCTGTTTTATAAATCCATGCTTTGTTCTTCTAGCCATTAGGTCCACACAGGTATGGACCAGAGAATACTGTAACTTACTGTTACAAAATGGTTTTGTGATGCACAGTGCAGTTGCTCACCACTTGCTGGCCAACATCTAGCCAGCTCCCAAGCAGTGGCAGCCTCCCCCAGCTAAATACCTGAGGTTTATTGTTCAGAGTGACACAGCTGTCATAGATTCCTGGTATGGAATATATCTTTGGTGTGTTTGAGTCAGCTGTTCTGGCTCTGTCCCCTCCCAGATTCTCGTGCACCCACAGCCCCTTTGCAGGCAAGACACTGTGACAAGTCTTTGACTTAGTGTAAGCACCACTCAGCAAGAACTAAAACACTGGTGTGTTATCAACGTTATTAATCATAAGTCCAGAACACACCAACAGATCAGTTATTAGGAAGAAAATTAACTCTATCCCAGCCCAAACCAAGCACTACTTCAAGTAAGCTACCAGTTCACAAACTTCATCGATACAATGGCTGCTTTTGGAGAGGACAAAAACATTTAAAGGGATTCATTTTGTTGCAAGAAATAAAAAAAGATACTTCCACAATAAATAGGAAACAGCAGTATTCAGCAGAATGTAATTCACCCTTCAATTTGTCTTAAAAGATAGATGCAGCCATTGCTGCCTATTGCAGTGTTTGTGACGTCTTTCTGTGAAATGGTGGCTAGTAATTAGACTCTAAATACTGCTGAGACCTAAGTATGACATTTCCCGAAAAGTAAGAAAGAGGGTTCTAGGTTCTACCCGGAGAAAAAAAGAAAAAAGAAAAAAGAAAAAAAAAATAATAAAAAGGTATTTCTGTGCATTCTAAACTACAAAACTGAGCAGTAGCCTCCAGTGCCATGTGCTCCTACACGAATGTGTAATGTTGACAAGAGACTTTATCAGATTGTCCCTTATCAGATAAGAAAGTCAGGTAAATGTGGGCCAAGAGATTACCTGCAACAAAAGCATTGGTAGCAGCTGATCCAGTGAATTTTTTCCAATGTGTTCTTCAGTAAACCTCATCTTGACACTCCATTCACTTTTGCACTATAATTGAAAGACTTAGGGGTCTGTATGTCTTCCCCCACGCTTCAACAGATCAACATAATTCCAGTCAACTTAAGCCATTTTTATAATAATGCCTTCTTAAACCACTGTAGCTCAGAGAGCATAGTAGTATATAGGAGAATTAACCAGAATCAGGCACCACAGACTAGATTTACTTCACTTATACAAAAACAGAAGAACAAAATCAGCACCTGTAACTTGTTTCAAATGATCACAAGTTTTACTCTTTCTGTAAAGAAAGAAGGTGTGAAGATCTTTAGTTTGACTAAAAATTGAAATATCTTTGTTTCAATGCCTTTATCAACACATAATATAAAGCCATGGAAAGATGATTAAACAGCCATAAGTGGAAATTCATGGATGCAAAGATTTCTTTCTTAGGATCTTAAGCGCCAAGATTTTTGCTTGGCAAGGCTGGTTGTCAGCAGAATATATGTCAACAGTTACAGAAGTTACTCTGAAGAATTTTATCTGCTTCCATCTGGAGAAAATAACTCAGTCCCAGAAATTCACATACCCAGAGTCAAACAAAGATGATTGTACTGAACAAGTCTGGAACCAAAATGATAGCCATAAAACTCTTTGTTTACATGTGCAGAAATATATGTTTTCTATAACAGCATGAAGTTTGGGAGGCTGCAATGTCATATACCATCAGTGACAAGCATTCACTTCTCTCTGTGGATTTTACATGGCACACAATGCATCAGAGTTACAAAAGAAATATAAAGAAGTAGCAGTGAAATACAATACAGAGTAAAGTGAAGGTGAATAAGCTCAAGTATGGTTAAATCAGGCCTTCTGACTATCAAATTTAGAGAGACAGTGTTTATTAGAAAGTAAAGAGTAAATGTGTAGTCAGTATTAATGCATTATATTTCTGGTGCCCATATTGATTGTTTAGCTTTCCTCAAATTGCTGGATTTCCCCATCTTCCATTTTACAAAGGTGATAAAATGTAGAATAAAAAATTAAAATGATAATTAAAAAATTAAAAGGTCTGGTTCAGTTCATTGTTTTGTTGCTCTGAAATACTCAGATAAAGCCTACTGAAAATGATGGTTGTTATAAGTGTCAGTAACTTGCTCTGCTGAAATAATTTACTTCTCTGAAAAAGAAGGGTGCTTATGAAGCTCAGCCATTCAAGAAGCCCATTAATTTTCCCCTTTTGAAGTAAACACAGGTAATGCTGCCAAGTTGGGAAAAGACCTCAATGTTGCAGAAGACGGCACAGTTTTGGGCTTCAGCTGAATGTAGCTTTAGGAATGCGCTACTTTACACTTTCTCCATGTTTAGAAGGGGTAGCTGTCTACTGACACTGTGGAACAAGAGCAGACTAGGAACAAGGATAACTCTTTAGACATATGCACTCTCCATGCAAGTGTTTTTCTGTATAACACTTCAATGTGTTTTCATTTATCTAAGAAGACAATGTGTCTTCTTGCATTGCTGCTGTGCAAAATGTTGCTTGTACTGCACAGATGGCATTCTTGGACTTGCATCTCCACTGCCTTGACTTTGTGTTTTATTTTTAACACATGATCCTGCAAAGTAACAAGCCCTTTTGTGTCCCAAGTTCAGTGCAACTATTCTAGTGGATGGTCTCAGTGTGTGTTTTCAATATTTTGATTTTTCCCAGACAAGACCTCACATTAACAACTGTACTATTTCATTGGCCTTTTTATGCTTTATATACATTATATACCTTAGGCTTTATATACTGCCATTTTCACTTACTTTCTCTCTCCTGCTATTTGGACTTAAAATACCAGTCTATGTAAGCATTCTCATCAAAGCCAATTTGGAATTAATCTTTCACCAAGAGATCATCTCACAGTATCAAATGCTCTAGTCACTAACAGTGCCTCTGCTATATTCCTATCATCCCACAAATGGTAATTCTGATTTTAAAAAAGCATTGACATTTCTTGCCTGTCAGTATTTTCTTATTGCTCGTGACACAGTTGTTCTTAAACCACACAGTAAGTCTTTTCTCTAGATATTCTGCATCACTGTTCAGGAATGTAAATTAGACGTAAAGCATATAATTGCTATAGTCATGTTTTTGGACTTTTATCTTTGAACAAATTGTTTCCTCAGTTTTTCCTTTGTCCCAGCATATCATAAAATTTAATCAAATACCCACACATCTTCAGTTATATATACTAAAGAACTTACATCAGCATCACAGATTCTTTTTATGGCCAAACTTACCACTACCTTACCAATCCTCTCTCTACACCTATCCGTAAAGCATCTAATTTGTGTTACCAGTGAGTACACAGTCTTCCATGTGATGTGAAAGACATTCTTTACAATGTCAATCAAGGCTACCAAGTTTATATGAAGCAAATTTAGTCAGTGAATCACCATTTTTCATTTGCATATAGGACTTATTCTAATTTGCTTTTCAAAAGCAAAGCAAGTAACAATTATAACCTTATAGTTTATATAACATCAATTTCTTAAGTTATGTAATGATGGGTGTGTTGCATTAGTGCTAGTATTGCTATTATTAATTATCAGTTATGTTAATTTTTATA